GGAGGAGGAGGAAGAGGAGGAGGAGGAGGAGGAAGAGGAGGAGGGGGAGGAGCAGGAGGAGGAGGAGGAGGAGGAGGAAGAGGAGGGTTCCTCCTGTCCACCCGGGGCAGAGGGCTGGCCGCCCCAAGCAGGCGACAACGGCCCCGCCGGTGGCGCAGCGCCCGGGGGAGGCGCGATGCCCCCACCGCTGGCGCCGCCGAAGAGATCAGGCCCAGCCGTTCGCTCTCGTCGGCCGTCGGTCCCTGCAGGTCGTCGGTCGCCGCCGTCGTCGGTCGCCGTCGGTCGTCGGTCGCCGCCGGTCGTCGGTCGCAGGTTTTCGTCGATCCTCGTCGTTGTCGACTGTCGTCGGTCGTCGTAGATCGTCGTTTTTTCGGTCGTCGCCCGTTATCGTCTTCGATCATCGTCGTCGATCGTCGTCTTCGATCGCTGTTGGTCGTACTCGGTCGTCGTCGTCGATTGTCGTCGATCGTCGTCGTCGTCGTCGTCGTCGTCGTCGTCGTCGTCGTCGTCGTCGTCGTCGTCGTCGTCGATGTCGATCGTCGTCGTCGTCGTCGTCGTCGTCGTCGATCGTCGTCGTAGTCGTCGTCGTCGTCGTCGTCGTCGTCGTCGTCGTCGTCGTCGTCGTCGTCGTCGTCGTCGGTCGGTTGTCGCGGATCCTCGTTGTCGCCGTCCACCTTCCTCCCGGTTTCCCCTCCTCTCCTCTCTCCGCCTCCGAAGCCCGGGCGGATCGGGCGCGGCTGGGCCCGGCTGGGCCCACGTCACTCAGGCCGCCCCCCCTCTGCCTCCTCACGCGTCCTCGCGCTCCTCGGACTCTTTTCCTCGCGGCCTGAGGCGCCCTCCCGCTGGAGGGTGCGAGCTCCGCTGCGTGTCTCGCTGCCGAACCCCCTCTGTGCTCCCTACGCCGTGCGTGCCCCGAGCCACGGGGCCCACCTCGAGGGCTCCTGCCCGGACTGGAGGGGGGTCCTGGCCCCCACTACGCAGCACTCTTGGTACCTCCTCCGCGTGTTCTTCGGCTGCCGCACTGCCAGCCGTCGAGGCTCCCCCTGCGCCTCAGCCCCGGACCTCTCGGCCTTGGCTGCCCTGCGCGCTGAGCCTCAGGCCAACGCGGCCGCCTCATGCGCTCCTCACACCATGTTTAGGTCCGCGCCAACGCTGCACCAGCGCCGTGTCCTTGAAGACCGCGTAGAGCGCTGATGCCCCGCCAATCCTCAAGCTGTGGGAACCCAGGCCATTCGGGTCGACCCCCTCCCCCACAGCTGACTGCATCACCACGCGCTGGACATCGACCCTCGTGACGAGCCGCCTGTCGTCGTAGGCGAAGAGCGGGTCGCACGACCGCGCTCCGGAGAGCCTATCACCTATCGCGTGCCCACCCCTCGTAGATCGTCAGCGCCTCCACCACGCAAATGTGTTCATCGTCCGCGGTGCCTGGTGCTGCTTCGACCCTGAAATGGTTGCGCCATTCTCCTCGATTGTACTGGTCCGTCTTGCTGGCCCGTATCTTGATGACGACCTCGTTCGCCTCAGGCCAGCTCCTCGTCGGCTCGCCCGCTGCCTTCGGTGTGACGTCCACGCCCCTTAGGCCCTTGCCACCGGTGTAGCCGTTCTGGTCGCCCGACACGTTCTCGCTGGCCCTCAGCAGGAAGAAATAGCCCGTGGAGAACGCAGCCCATAGGGCTGCGCCCTCGCGCGACCTTTCCGGCTGCAGCTTCCTCCGGATCCACCTCATCATCCTGGGCGTGACTGGCTTTTTCCGCTTGGCGTCGCCGTCTCGCCTCCTCAGCCCGTCGATCACCATCCAGAGCCTGCCCGCGCCCGCCGTGAGATCGCCCAGACCGAGGGCAAGGTGCTGGGCCCGCACTGCAAACAGGTACTGCTTGATGGTGCCCGCTTTCTTGTACCCTCGTCTGGACAGGTGCGCGGCGACTTCCAGCATCAGCTCCTCCTCGTCCCTTCGGCTCGCGGGCGTGACCTCCCTAAGTGGGCTGATACCCCTTGCCCGGCAGAACAGGGACCACCACCTCCAGCCTAGGCTGTAGGACTTGATGGTGGAGCTGGCCAGCTTGTCCAGGATGAGCTCCAACTTGGCTTTCTCCCAGTCCTCACGCGTCTTGAGGTCCGTCAGCGTCAGATCGTCCAGCTTAGCTTTCTCCCTGGCCGGTTCGGGCCCCAGCAGGTTGGGTGGCCTGTTCTCGACCGGGTCCACACTCTTGCCTCCGCGCTTCCTCTTCCTCTGGGCGTTGGCGCCCGCCCTCGGGCCCTCGGCCCCTCCAGAGCCCCGCGCGGCCAGAGCCCAGTCGAGCCACCTGCCCCTCTGGTCGGGATGTCCCCACGTCCGAACCATCGCGTCCAGCTGATTCCTGGCCTCATCCTGCTCCAGGCATCCGCTCCTGCGGCTGTCCTCCTCGCGCCCGGCGCGCCTCCCGCTGCCGTCGGAGCCCCGGCCTCGCTCAGCTCCTCGCGCGGATGGCCCTGGGTGAAGCCTGAGCCCCTCCTGGCTATGGCCAGCACCGCCCGTGCCTCGGGTATCCCGCAGGTACCGGGCCACCGCCTCCGGGTCGATGCCTTCCAAGTCTGGCTCACTCTGGCGCCTCTCTCGAAGGCGGCGGCCGTCGGGCCGGTGCAGCTCCTCGAGGTGCTCGGCCATCCCGCGCCTCGCTCCCTTCCTGCGGGCTTCCTCGGCCAACTCGTCCTCGTCGCGTTTGATCCTGATGGCCCGCGCCCGCAGCGCCGCCATACGGGCTTCGTTGTCTGCCTGGATCTTCGCTGTCTCGGCGCCGTCTCCCGGCCTGAGGTCCGTCGAACCTGGCGACGGCCCTCTGCCCCCTGCTCCACCCTCGAACGTGGCAGACTCTCCTCGCGGCTGGCTGCGGAGCTCGACGGTCCTCCGGGGCCCCGGCATGGGAAGCGGTTCCCTCTCCACCCAGGCGGTTCCCCGCCCCCCGGTGGGCTGTGGCGGGGCGGAGCTGGGCTCCTTCCTAGCGTCGGTTCTGCGCCTGCCCCTCTCCAGGGACCTCGACCTCCGCTGTTCCTTCTCGCGCATGCTGGCGCCGCGCCTGGGTCCGCGCGGCGCCGCGGCTGCAGCCGCGCCTTCTTCTCCCCGACGGGTGGCCCGCTCCACCAAATCCCTGTGCTTGCGGCCAAGCGCTGCTTGGCCCGGGCGCTCGATGCCTTCGCCTTCCGACTGCGGCGGGCACTCGGTCGAAGGCCATCCGCTGTCTGACGAGTCCCCATAGTCCGCCCCGTCCCGCTGGTAAGCGGCTCCGCCCCAGCCGACGCTGCCAGGCGGAGGGCCGGACATGGGCGCCTTCGGCGGCGCGGCGCCGCCCTGCTTCTTCTTCTTCTTCTTCTTCTTCATCTTGCCCCGTCTGCCTCCGCCCTCGCCAGGAGGCTGGTCACCCATGTCCTGGCCATGGGGGGCCTTCTCGCAGTACTTGTAGTGGTTGATAACCTCCATCCGCCCAGTCCTCGCCCAGATGCCTGCCTCCGCACTCGTCGCAGCAGTGGCCTTGTTTCCAGAGCTGCTTCGGAACGCTGTGCGCGGCGCAGGGGCAACCCGGGCGGAGGCGCGGCGTGAGCCCTCCTTCTCCCGTGCGCGCGCCCGACGAGGCTGCCTTGGCCGTGGGCGCCGCTACTGCGGGCCCTGGCACCGAGGCCGCTCGGGGCGTGGGGGCCGACTCCTCCTCCTCCTCCTCCTCCTCCTCCTCCTCCTCCTTCTCCTCCTTCCGCCGAAGGCCTGCCTCAGCTCTCGTCGTCGTCGACGGCCCCCGCCCGTCTCCCAGGTTCTACCCCCTCGGAGTGGGGCTCCGCTGGGCCAGCCCAGGCACGGGGATCTTCTGCGCTCCGCGCGCGGGCGAACTCGGCGGCGCGCGCGCCCTCCCTCGAGTTGCGCACCGGGCCGCGATTCCGCCCGTGCGTATACCAGCGCGTCCTGCAGCAGTAGAAGACCTGGAAGCTCAGGTCTGGCAGATGCCGTCCGTCTGCGTCCCTCCTGGTGGCAGCAGCCTGCCTCCTCGGGGTGTACCCTCCTCCGCTGCGCCGGGGCGCCTGGCCATGTAGTGCCTGCTGCGCTCCTTGCTGAGGGCCATGGCCGACGCTGGGCTCAGGCTGTTCCCCCGGTAGTTGGCGCCGCCCCCGTGGTCGGACAGCCTGATCGCCACCCCCGACTTCCAGCAGATGGCGGGGGGCTGGGCGCTCACGAACTCGTCGAGGAGCTCCGCCCTGGGCGCTGGGAAGGCACCGTCTGGTATGGAGAAGGTCAGCCCCAAGCCCACTGCCTCCACGCTCGTCCTCGGGTCGTCGACCGTGCCAGGCTTTCGTTTTCGGGGCCGACGAAGCGCGCGGGGAAGCTGTAGCAGGCGCCCCACTCGGCCTCAGCGTTCGCCAGAGGGTCACGCACGTGGACAAGCCAAGCTGATCCTGCCTCTGCCTTGGCCGGGCTGCCTCTCCTGGCCGCGGTGCCGGAGGGCTGCCCGTCGAGCCTCTTGGCCTCCCTCCCGTCTGGGCGACGCGTGCTGGCCTGGCGGTCCTCCTCCGGCTGCGGCGCGCCCGAGCGGCTGCGCCAGCCCACCGTTCGATCTGCAGCGTGGACCGCACAGAGGGAGCAGCCGTCCTTCTCGACAGTCTTCTCGCGATGGCAGCGGGAGCGGGCGCATCTTCTCGGGGCGGCCTGACTCTCGTAGACGCCCGCGTGATGCGGGCAGGCCCTGCTCCGGGGCGTCGCGCACATCCGTGATCGCCGCGTCTTCGGCCAGCAGGTAGATGGGGTCCTGCCTCGCGGTGTCCCGACAGCACCTGGCGCTCAGGACCTGCATGCCCCCCGTGGTCGTGTACGCGATCTGGTCGGCCTGGCAGACGTCGATGCTGGGCTCCGACTCGGTCTCCAAGTTGGGGTCCATTTCCTCAATGTTACCTGGTTTCTGCCCAGGCTTTGGATGCCTCCAGCGCCTCTTCGCACAGCAGCCGAACGCCTTGCAGCACGCTCTTCCCGCACCTCGGCACCCCCCAGCGCAACGCATTCAACCTCCTGCTCTCGCCCGTTCTGCTGGTGTGAGCTTGGCCAGGTCGGATGCGTTGACTAGCGAGCTCCGGTCTACCGCGCACAACGAGTTGACGTGCACCATCGGCCGATCGCCCTCGGGGAGAGTGCATGGGGAGGCCGCGCACAGGTGGACCTGGCCGATGCCCTAGTCATCCCTGGTAGCCTCCAGGTCGGTCTTCAGGTGGCGGTGGCAACTGCCCCCCACGCCCTTGAACTTGTAGACGTACCCATGACGAGTGATACGGCCGCCTCGGCGGGGCCCCTGCTCGAGTCGCGCGACCGAGCCGCCCGCCTTGACGATGAGGTCGTTAGGCATCATCTTCTCGGCTCCTCCTCCACGCGCCCGGACCTTACTCTTGATGTAGTGCTCGTCCACCGCCGTCGCTTCGCCGGGCCCATGCCATGCCAGCGCGTCCGTGGGGTCGCCGTCCGGAGCCACCATGACGTCGTGCCCCATCTTGCTTCCGCCAGCGAAACCCTTCAGCGTCCCGATGAGGACCGCGGTGCACGCCCATGCCGCGCGCGCAAACCAGGCCATGAAACCCAGCGCCGACCCATGCACCGCCGCTACCACCATCGCCACGAGCCCCATGGTTGCCCACTGTAGTCTAGCCCAGAACGCGCCGAAGAGGTACTTGCCCATCGCATCGACCAAGCCAATGAGGAAGGTGACCAGCTGATGAAGCAGGGCGCCCAGGGCATGGCCGAGACTTTCGCCCAACCACTTCAGCACCATCTCCACCCACGCGCTGAACCGAGCCAAGCCAATGGACGAAGCTGATGCGGCGGTGTCGGGGTGAGGGCCCGGTGCGGCCCGGGTGGCCTTCTCCTCCCTGGTCGTGCTGCCCACGCTCTGGGGCTCCTTGGGCGGCGGCGGTGGAGGGCCGGAGACGGGCGGCGGGGGCGCGGGCGCCGCTTCTGGGCTGGCCTCCTCACGCGGCTTCGCCTCTACCTGTGCGGCGGAGGCGTCGTAGTAGTAGCCGTAGTAGCCGTAGTAGTAGTAGTAGTAGTAGTAGTAGTAGTAGTAGTAGTAGTAGTAGTAGTAGTAGTAGTAGTAGTTGTAGTAGTAGTAGTAGTAGTAGTAGTAGTTAGTAGTAGTAGTAGTAGTTAGTGGTAGTTAGTAGTGGTAGTAAGTAGTAGTAGTAGTAGTTGTAGTAGTGTAGTAGTAGTCGTAAGTAGTAGTAGTAGTAGTCTAGTACGTAGTAGTGCCCAGTGCAGGAGTAGTAGTAGTTTAGTGTAGTTAGTAGTAGTAGTAGTTGTAGTATAGTAGTCGTAGTGGTGATATGTAGTAGTTAGTAGTTAGTAGTAAGTTGTAGTAGTAGTAGTTGCAGTAGTGTCGTAGTAGTCGTAGTAGTAGTAGTAGTAGTAGTAGTAGTATAGTAGTAGTAGTAGTATGGTAGTAGTAGTAGTTAGTGGTAGGTCGTAGTAGTAGTAGTGTAGTTTAGTCGTAGTAGTAGTAGTAGTAGTCAGTAGTTATTAGTAGTAGTACGTCGTGAGTCGTAGTCGTAGTCTCGTTAGTAGTAAGTAGTATAGGAGTAGTGTAATCGTAGTAGTTAGTTAGTAGTAGAGTCTTAGTAATAGTAGTAGTAATAGTAATAGTTTAGTAATAGTAGTAGTAGTAGTAGTCGTCGTAGTCGTAGTCCGTAGTCGTAGTGTAGTCGTAGTCGTAGTCGTAGTCGTAGTCGTTAGTCGTAAAGTAGTAGTGTCAGTAGTAGTAGTAGTAGTAGTATGTAGTAGTGTAGTGTAGTAGTGGAGTAGCAGTAGTAGCAGTCGTGTAGTAGTAGTAGTAGTAGTGTAGTTGTCGTAGTAAAGTAGTAGTAGTAGTAGATAGTAGTAGTAGTAGTTAGTAGTTAGTTGTTAGTCGCGTAGTTGTTGTAGCAGTAGTAGCAGTAGTAGCAGTAGTTGTAGTAGTTGTAGTAGTTAGTAGTAGTAGTAGTAGTAGTAGTAGTCGTAGTAGTAGTAGTAGTAGTAGTAGTAGTCGTAGTCGTAGTCGTAGTCGTAGTCGTAGTAGTAGTCGTAGTAGTACTCGCTGGAGTGCTGACATACTGTGAGCAGAGCGCCCGCCCGGACCGGCCATGGCTGGCGGCGGGTCCGTAGCCGGGCACTCGGCAGGTGCGGGGAGCGCCGCAGGCAGAGGTGGCCCCTCGGGCGCCTCGACCGCTGGCAGCTCGCCTCCGCCCGCGTCCGGGCAGCTGGCCTCGCCCTGGCTGTCGGGCTGGCCCTGCTGCTCCTCTTCTTCGCCGCCTGGTCCCGCCCGCTCATGGCCTCACTTCTCAGGGCCCGTCACGGTGGCGGACGCATGGACCGCCGTGTACCAGTCGACGCCCAACGTCGGGCCATGTCGCCAGCGCACCCACGGCCAAGGCCAGGGGTGCACTCTAGCCCGTGGACGGGCCTCAGCCTCCTGCCCGCCCTTCAGGTCGCGGGCGCCTGCAGCGTCCGCCGCGGGCCGCGGGGCTCCCTTCCGGAGCCCCCGCCCGCACTGGAGGGGGGGCCTGGCCCAGCCGCTACCCAGCGCTCCTCGGACTGCTCGGTCTCCCTCGACTGGGCCGGCGTGCTATGGCCCCGCCCGCCCACCTTCTCAGAAAGGATGCGGAGGCCGCTCCTGGAGCGGCCTTACGCCAAGTGCGACGGAGGAGGAGCACAAGCAGGAGAGGGAGGCTGCGCAGAACGAGGAAACGCGCTGCTCTCTCGAACGTCTACCCCTCCTCATCCCTCCTTCTCTCATCCTCATCAGAATTCAGAGAAGTGTGGAACTCGCCCTGTAGCTGGTGCTCCCCCATGCCCCCCCTCGTCCTCCCCCCATCTTCCTCGCATCTTCGGCCTCGCTGAGGCCGCTCCTTGGCCCCGGGGCCGTCGAAAACCAGTCGTCGTCAAAAACCAATCCCTTGGAAGGGATCGAGATCCCTCGGGGGGGAGGGGGCACGCCTGGAGGGCAGGGCTCCGAGCAGATCTGCCCCACTCGGAGAGTGCTGGGCGCAATCGCCCGAGCGCGACGACTGCGGTGGCACCGAGGCGATGCCCCAACTCCACGGGTCCGATCCGAGACCCGTCCCCTGAAAGAGCACCGGTGCATGCACACCAGGTTTCGGAGGTGAGGCTCGCGCGGATTGCCTGGATCGACGCTGGAGCCCCTGGCAGCGCCTCCGCCGCTGCTCCTTGCCAGCCTCCGCCGCCTGCGCCTCCGCCGCTGCCTCTCCTCCGGCCAGCTCCACTTCGATTCCGATGTCCCGACGGTCCGTTGTTGCCCGCTGCTTGCGTGGCGCTGCTGTCCATCTTGGTGCAGCACAGAAATGGCTCCAAATTCTGGCTCCGCGCCGAGGTGGCCCCATCCGACGTACACATTCCGTTTCGATCCGCACTCCCGATGCGAAGATCGGATCGAACGAAAGGGGGGATAGGCAAAGGGGGGGAGGGCGAGGAGGAGGAGGAGGAGGAGGAGGCGCCAGGAGGCTCCAGGAGAACCAGCTCCGTGAGCTCGGCCCTATCCTTAGGTCGGGCACGTCCCTCTAGAGGAGGAGTATTCAAAAGTAGTCAAAAAATAGTCTGGCGACGATTTTCGATTAGGTGGGGCTGTGTTGCAATATTTTGTGAGTGATGTTTTGTGGATTTTTCTCCCAAGATCCGCCTGTAGGAGGACATGCCCGACCTAGCCGTATCATGTGCTATCCTGACCCGAGTAAGCGATTAAGGAACCCCCCACCCCCCCCCCTCTCCGGTGAAAGGATAACGCACCCGGCACCCGGAAGCGTTATCCTGGCACCAGGAGGGGGTACACCAGCTTTTCTCAGTTTTTCCTCAGCTTTTCTAAGCTTTTCCTTAGCTTTTCTCAGCTTTTCCTTATTCGTATTTGTATTCTTATTCTCATTACAATTCTAATTGGGATGCCACCCGAGGCGGGGCGCTGGAATTATTTATTTTCCTTCCATTTGCGCGGTGCTAATAATATCGCTCGGCGAAAACCCCCCCAAATAATTATTTAATTACGGCGCGGTGCTAATGATAACGCCGGGGGGGTCCTTAATTGCTTCTCCGGGTTACCCCTTCGCCCCTCTGATATCCTCTGCTGTCCTTTGCTATCCTACCCTTCGCCCCCCCCCCCCGGGGTGCTATGCCTTGCTATCCTTTGCTATCCTAATCCTATCCTTTGCTGTCCTTTGCTGTCCTGCCCCTTGGCCCCCCCCCCCCCCCGAGGTGCTGCGTGATCTCGCTCCTCCTCCCTCCGCTGCCCGGGAGGCTCTGCCGCGGGCGAGATGCCGCCGCCGCCCGTGCCGCTGAAGCGAGCCAGGCGCGCATCTTTTCGAGTACGGTAGGTTCGCGTTGTGTCGACCAGCGGCGACTCGCCAGCGGCGTTCAACGTTGAACGCCGCGGGGGATCCAGAATCGTTCGATTTGGAACGATTTGGACGCTGCGGAAACGGCCGATGTTCAGGGTTGAACGATCCCCGCGGTGTCAGAAACCAACGCCGAAGTCGCCACGGCACGAACCTGCCGTAGGGGATCGTCTACAGAAGAGCTTTGCCACAGAATTGATTTGCTCGTCAACCCACGAGAGCAAAGTACGTAGAATAGTCCGTCGATCAACGGGGCAGTGCAGGTACGTTTCGTAGATTCGGCCGGAAAGGGGAGGTGCCCAGCCAGGCCTCAGACCTGCGACCCCAAACATGATCGAGTCGTAAATAGGGGAACGAACAATGACACAAACCTCATCACTCGGAGGTCCGCGCGGATCTCTCGGATCGGCGCTGGGGCCCCCTGGCGGCGCCTCCAGAGCCGCTCCCAGCGCGCTCCGCGCGCAAGGATCCAAGAGATCCGCGCGGACCTTCGAGTTTGTATGCTTATGCAATTTTTCGTTTTCCTCGTAAACATGTCAGGGCGGACTTCTGTTCCGTTTACGGCCTCTGGAGGCCCTCGCCGGGCCCCGGGGCCGCCAACAAAACGGCTCGGGATGAGATGCCGGCCTTGGGGAACCGAGCCATCCGGTCTTGGACGGGGAGGAGGAGGAGGAGGAGGAGGAGGAGGAGGAGGAGGAGGAGGAGGAGGCGGAGGAGGCGGAGGAGGAGGAGGTGGAGGAGGAGGAGGTGGAGGAGGAGGGGAGGAGGAGGAGGAGGGGGAGGGGGGGAGGGAGGAGGAAGAGAGGAGGAGGAGGTGGAGGAGGAGGAGGAGGAGGACGTCTTGGGGAAACGGCCGGGACGTCTGGGGGTCGACGTCACGAAAACGTCAGGACGTCGTGTGTACCTCGGACAGATAGGTTCTTTTGCTGCAGTTCCCGCGTGCTTCCTCGAGCGCGACTTCAGTCGGGCGTGTCACCCTACAGGAAGAAGATTCAAACCGAGTCCAAAGATCGTCTGGAGACGATTTCTGGAATACTTTTGATGATTTTTGAGCATGTTTCGGCTACGTTTTATGTTTCGTCCTTCGAAGCTCTGCCTGTAGGGGACATGCCCGACACAAGTCTCGGCTTGTGGGGCCCGTGAACCATCGGGCCCCAGGCTTCCGTGGCGTTCCCCTCTCCTCGCCCCAGGACGCGTGTGTTTTGCCGGAGGGGAGCTCGAAAGGCGCGAGGAGGACGCCACGAAAGGGGACCCAGAGATCTGAGAGAGCGTGATCCACCGCCGCTTTACTGTGGAAAATTGCCAACTTTTTCCTCCGGAACCCGGGGGTCCCCCCCCCCCCCCCCCCCCTCCGAATATCACACACACACCCCCGCTGGAACCCCTCCCCCCCCCCCCCCCCCCCTTCCCGGCAAAACCCCCCCCTCCCTAACCCCTCCCCCTCCCCCTCCCTACCGCTCGGAAAAACCGGGGGGGGTGGGTCATACCGGTTCGACCCCTCCCCCCCCTCCCCTCCGATCGGATCTCAGAGGGGGGGTCACTCCGGTTCGAACCCCCCCCCCCCCCCCCCCACCCCCCCCTCCCCCTACTCACCGCCAGCAAACGACTCCCGGTCCCCACCACCGTCCGCATCACATCCCCCACTGGTGTTCCCAGCACCACTGTCCTCACCACCGCTGTCCCCACTGGTTCCACCACCGCCCCTACTGTCCCCACCAGTGGCCCCACCACTGTCGCACTGTCCCCGCTGTCCCCAGAACTGTTCCCACCACGGTTCCACTCTCCCCACTGTCTCCACGGCCCCAACCACTGCCCGACTATCCCCACTGTCCCCACTGTCCCACTGACTCCTCCGCTGTCCCACTGAGCTGTCCCACTGTTCCCACCACTGTCCCCACTGCACCCACTGTCCCCACTGCACCTCTGTCCCATTGTCCCACCGCCGTCCTCGCCACCGCCTTCACCACTGTCCCCACCACCATTGTACCCTCCACTGTCCCACTGTTTCCACCTCATTCCCATTGTCCCCACACCACTGTCCCCACCACCACCGTCACCACCACTGTCCACTGTCCCCCCCTGTTCCCACCATTGTCCCCACCACTGTCCCCACCACTACCGTCCCCACCACTGCCCACTGTCCCACTGTCCCCACCACTGTCCCGCTATCCCCTCACCACTGTCCCCACCAACACCGTCCCCACCACTGTCCGCACCCCCACTCGGTTTTCGAGGGGGGGGGGGGGTTCGAACCGGTAGTGACCCCCCCCGGTTTTCGAGGGGGGGGGGTGGGAGGGGTTCGAACCGGTAGTGACCCCCCCCTTTTCATGATGAGCTGGGGGGGGGGGGAGGGGTTCGAACCGGTAGTGACCCCCCCCGGTTTTCCGGAGGGGGGGGGGGGAGGGGTTCGAACCGGTAGTGACCCCCCCCGGTTTTCCGCCAGCAGCGGTAGAACACGCTCTTTCAGAGATCTGGGGAGATACCCCCTGTGGAGATCTGGGGAGATACCCACCCGCTCCTCCACCTCCTTCTCCTCCTCCTCCTCCTCCTCCACCTCCTCCTCCTCCTCCATCGAGCACGGCGCCGAGCGGTCGCTGGACTGGCAAGTGGTGCTGTGTCAGGATGTCCAAGTCCAAGGCTGCGAGTGTCCGCCCGCCCTCCACGGACTTGAGGGCGTGGGCGGCGAAGGACAGGGAGGTGAAGCATCGTGGGCAGAGCCTGAGGGACCTTGGCCTGGGCGATGGGCCGGCGCCAAAGCCTACGGTTTCGAGGGAGTCCATGGTGGTGCCTCCCCAGCTGGACCTCAGCTACGGGCCGCCCATTCGCATCAAGGTCACGGAGGTCGTGATGGCGGACCTGAGCTACGGGCCGCTCAAGAACAAGGACGACAGGATGGTGGTGCCCCCGAAGGCACGGCCCTCGGCGGCGGCGACGAGCTGGCGCAAATGGACCGCAGCGGGCGACATCGTCAAAGCCCCGCGGTTGGCCTCTGTGTGCGTGGACAAGGCGAGGCACATGCTGGGGCTGAAGGTGTGCAAGGGCACCGCCAACGTCCAGGAGAAGGAGAAGCAACCGGTCAAGAAGAAACGCCTCAGCAAGAAGAGGCGCGAGAAGGCGAAGGTCAAGGTGGCGCACCAGCAGGTCCCTGGGCTCCACACGGCGGAGGCGAAGCGACGCCTCGCTCGGAAGCTCTTCGAGGTGAAGCTCCTGCGGGCGCGCCGCAACTTGACGGAGAAACCAGCCTAAGCTCCAACCGCCAGCGCGGAGAAGGCATGCCAGGCCCGTCAGGAGATCACGCTGGAGGTCTCCCCGCTCCTGGCGCTGAGCTCGGAGGCCAGGGCTGCAGCGACGAGAAGAGCGTGGAGGAGCTCTTCCCTAGTGGCGCGGCCATAGCGGACAACGGCACCGAGGCAAAGGGCCAGCCTGGCCTCAGTTTTGACAGCATCCACGTGAAGGGCGCAAATGAGTTCTTCAGTGGTGATGCGGCCGACGCCGACGGCGGCATGGTGAAGCTACGGGGCGCGGCAGGCCCTGGGAATCAGAACAAGGGCAAGAAGAAGAAAGGCAAGAAGGGCAACAACGGCACCGCCAGCGTTGTGCCTTTCGAACCCGACCAAAAGGGCATCGACAGCAACGACAGCCTGAAGAGCGAGATCCTCGAGAGGGCCTTGGAGCTCCTTGAGTCTGGCATCGTCGATGCTGCGTTCGTCGAGGGCCTGACGCAGTCGCTCTCGGAGGCCGAGGTCGACTGAGAGCTTGGGGGCTGGCAGGGGGGGTCATCTAGGCTGCGAGGGTCTTGGGGCCGCCCCTTCTGGTTCCCTGGTCGGGCTCCTGGGGTCTCTCGGGCTCCTTGGGCCTGCCTGGCCCCCTCCTCGGGGGTGGGCGGTTTTGGTGTGGCGGGAGGACCCGCCTCGCAGCCTGGGTGTGTCCCCCCTGGCTGCTCCCTGCGGCCGTTGTGCCGAGCGCGGTCAACAGACTGCGATTTAGTCAGCCCCTCAGCCCCCCAGACGTGATCGCGTGCGCCGCCGGAGGAGAGCTCGAAAGGCGAGAGGAGGGCGCCACGGAAGGAGACCCAGACAGGATCGCGCCGCAGAAAGATCCGGACGGAGGTTCGTCCCTGAGATCCTGGCGACCCAATTTTTTCGAGCCGGGCGTTTTCGCCTTTTTTCGAGCCCCGTTTTTTTTGTTTTGTTTTTTTTTTGTTCGAGCCGGGCGTTTTCGACTTTTTGCGAGCACCAGGTTTTTTTTTTTGTTTTTTTTCACCTTTTTGTTCGAGCCGGGCGTTTTCGCCTCTTTTCGAGCCCCGGGGCTCTCACAGATCGATCCGGCTCGAAAAACGACGCCAGAAGTTGGGGTCTGGGGCTTCGGGCGCGGATACCTTCACGATGTTGCACTTTTCTCGCCACGTCGGATCTCAGGGGAGGAGGGCGCCACGGAAGGGGACCCAGACATGTTCTTTTTGGTCGGCGGCCGCGCGACAACGGTTTGGCGGCAACAGGCGATGTCCGGGACGCCGGTACAAAGCTAATTGCACACAGGCGTGCGGTGCACGTGCATTGAGCAAAATGCTCCACCTTCGCAAACGCACATAGGCGCCGCAGTGTGGACCGAAGTGGACATGCGGCACCCAGACACGCTCGCGTCGCAAAAAAAATCAGGACGGAGGTTTTTCGCAGATTTCGGCCTCTGGAGGCCCTCGCCGGGCGTCGGGACCGTCAAAAAGCGACGCAGGGTGCAGCACCGGCCCCGGGGAAAGGGTCTGGGCTTCCGGGGTCGCCGTCACGGGACGTCGCATGGCTGGGGATGGTTTGTCAGGGGTCGCTTCGGCCACGCCCGAGGGGCCATTGCGACCCAGGATGCCAAGTTGCCCCCCGGGGAGGTGTCGAGTTTTTGGGCGCCCGAGCTATCTGGGGTAATTCGGGTCCGGGGTAACTCGGGTTTGGATTCCCCGAAAGACGAAACCGAGTTAGCCCTGACCCGAATTACCCCTGATGACTTGGGGCTCTGGACGCCCGAATCATCCGGGGTAGCTCGGGCCCTGGGTAATTCGGGTTCGGAATCCCGGAAACGAACGCGAATTGGCCCTGACCCGAGTTACCCCTGATGACTCGGGGCTCTGGAGTTTGGGGGTCGCGGACTGAAGGGATCACATCGGGAGATGTCTGGGGTCCTCTGGTGATCCTATACCGCCGACTGGAGGGTTTCTCCGAAGGGCTTAGGCGACCCGTCCTCCTCCTCCTCCTCCTCCTCCTCCTCCTCCCCTCCCCTCCTCCTCTCCTCCTCCTCCTCCTCCTCCCTCCTCCTCCTCCTCACTTCCTCCTCCCTCCTCCCTCCTCCTCCTCCCTCCTCTCCTCCTCCTCCTCCTCATCCTCCACCTCCTCCTCCTCCTCCTTCCTCCTCCTCCATCTCCGTCTCCATCTCCATCTCATCTCCATCTCCATCTCCTCCCATCCCATTTCCTCCTCCCCCTTCCCCTCCTCCACCTCCTCCTCCTCCTCCTCCTCCTCCTCCTCCTCCTCCTCCTCGGGTCGCCTACGGCCCCAGGGGAAACCGTATACCGCCGATCCCCACAAGGAGTGAGTGTTTGAGGCGATCGTGGAAGGTAGATTTTGGGCCAGGAGCCTCCTTGATGAATCTGAGGGTCTCTCTGGTCGCCTCTCTGGGGCCTCTTGGAATACCTTGGGGGGCGTGTGGGAGGCCTTCGGGGGATGTCTGGGGGCCTCCTCGGTGATCCGGCAGAGCCGCGCCGGGCGTCCTGCGCCACCCTCTGGTCGGGGACCGCCAGCAGTTTGTGTGTATGCAGTTCGTTGTTCTTCCAGTCGCAGAATGTCTCTTCCCTGCTGATCCCTGCCCCATCCCACCCAGGCATGGCCAGGTTACCCGCGAGCCTCTCCCCGACCCGCCCCATCCAAGGATGCGCCCTGGAGCAGCACGAAGACACGATATCCATTACCTCGGCGCACGCGTGCCTGAACGTCAGGGGCATTTGGGGGCCATCTTGGGGGCCTCTTGGGCTTGCACTCGTCAGCCAGCGCGCTTCCCTGACCATTTGAATGTTCGGTTGGGTCTGTCATCATGGCGTCGGCGCGCGCGTGCCTGAACTCAGGAGGGGACAAGTACACACAAAGACACAATGAATCGTCGATCTCCAGGGAAATCTGGGAGAATATGGGAAGTGGGGGGGAAAGACGACGATTTAGAAAGTATAGGGGAATACAGGGGGGAATCCTGTGATATGTGTATATGTATTTTACGTGTGTCCTTGGGCCCGATTTAGTCTCGGGGTCCCTCTTGGGTCCCTCTTGGGCTCGTCACCGTCAGACAAGGCGCCCTTACTGGTCACGCGAGTGCTCGGTCGGACAAATTACCAGTGTGGCCTCGGCGCGCGCGCGTGCCTCGACGCTTTCGGGGGGCATTCTGGGTGCCATCTTGGGGCCCAATTTGGGTGCCATCTTGGGGCCCTATTGGGCTCGTCGTCGTCAGTCGCTGAGGGGGCATTTGGGGTGCCATCTCGGGGCCCTATTGTGATAGCTTTTGTTATTATTTGATTTGCCCATCGTCGCGGGTCCCCCCCCCCGTGGAGTAGATCTTGGCCGTTTTTTGGCGCCTGGTTCGAGCAGGTGGAGCCTCCCCTCATAGGACGCACTGTCACAAACAGACACTAAGCAGAGGTCCTGAGCCAGACCCCCCCACCCTCCTCCCCCTCATTTCCACCCGATGTCGGAACGCCGAATGAAAAAACGCTCACCTATTGGGCTCGCCGTCGTCGGTCAGAGCGCCTTGCTGGCCACATGACTGTTCGGCTGGGCTATCATCATGTCCTCGACGCGCGCGCGCCCTGGGGCAATGAGTCGGGGCCCTCCTGAGCTCCTCGTCGTCGCTGTCCTCCTCCCCTCTCCACGACGCGCAGTCTTAAGTCGGGCCTGTCCCTCGACAGGAGGATTTGTCGACCATAGTCTGGGGACGATTTTCCATTATTTGGTTTGCGTATGTTTAGGTATGTTCTGAGCATTTCAAACTCTTCCTCCAAAATCCGCCTGTCGGGGGACACGCCCGACTTGAGCAAGCGTATTCCCAGTCTGCCCAGCCAGCTCTCGGGGGCCCAGAAATCGGCGCCCACGCCGGCACAGGGGGGTGCCTGTTCGGGGGGGCCCGAGATTTTGGTGCTGGGGGCCCTCTCCCGGCCGCCCGGGAAGCCCGAGTCTTGCCGTCCTCGGCCGAGATCGGGGCCATCTTTTCCCTCGGAGGCCGCCGCCGATGTCGGTGCGGGTGCCGAGTTCTGCGCCGTCGAAGTCCCCGCCGAATGCCAGCCTGCTGGAGCTTTTCCCCTGTCCTGACTCTCCTCTGCTCGGTGCTGGAGGCTCCTCGGCCCTCCTCCTCCCCTGGTCGACCCCCCCCCCCGATGGCGACGACGAAGACGACAGCGCCGACGGCGGCGCCGACGACGTCGGCGGCGACGGCGACGAGTAAGTCGGGCCTGTCCCAAGACAGAAAGCATATTCAAAAATAGTCATACATAAAAAAAGGCTGGGATTTTTTTTGACTATTCTTGAGCGTATTGGGAATATCTTTTTAGTATTGGAAAAGCCTAGCGGCCAGTGCCGCCGACCCTGAAGGGGGACGGCGACGACGACGGCGGCGGCGGCATCGGCGACGACGACGACGCTGACGCTCTGGAGCCTTTCTTGGGGCTCTCTTGGGAGCATCTTTGGCTCTATTGAGGCTTGGGCTGAGGCCTGTGGCCAGGGCCGGGGCCGGGGCCGAGGCCGAGGCCGAGGCCGAGGCTGGGGTCACGGCCGGGGCTGGGGCCCGGGGTCGGGGGCCAGGGCCAGGGCCAGGGTCGGGGGGAGTCGAATCTGGGGGGGGGGGCCCCCGGGTCACGCCCGAGACCCCCCCGGGGCCGCCCCCCCCCCCCCCCCCGAGGGGCTTCCTTTCGAAGTATTGACGACGTGCAATCAAGTGCTTGGCACGGCATGTGAAAGGAAGAGGACTCTGCGACTCTGCTGACGGAGAGCGGGAGAACGGTGAGTGTATTGACGACGTGCAATCAAGTGCTTGGCACGGCATGTGAAAGGAAGAGGACTCTGCTGACGGAGAGCGGGAGAACGGTGAGTGGAAGCTGGATGCGGCTAGAGAAAGTCGAGTAGGAAAGAAAGCACGACGCGAACGGAGAAGCCCCTCACACACGCCGACAGGGTCGGCGGATTCTTCAGCTTTCGCACAAAATCCCCCTGTAGGGGGACAGGCCTGATCTAAGGCGACGACGACGGCGGCGGCGACGGTGACAGCGACGGTGGCGGCGACGACGACAGCGACAACCTCCTGCCTGCCCAGGGGCGCGAGCGGTTCCGCCGCTGCCGCCGCCAGCGCCAGCAGTTGCAGTAGCGCCGCTCCGGCGGAGGAGGAGCGGTGGCGCGGGAGGGCCTGCCCAGAGTCGGTGGTTCTAAGATGGGATAGGATAGGACCGATCGCGAAGCGAAGTGAACGGCACCCGACCACCACCTGAGCCATTGCTCGGGTTGAATCGGGCTACTCCCCTCTGAGCTCGAAATTGAAGCAGACGAACCAGAGGGCGTAGAACAGGAGCCAGCACCAACTACGTAAGACGAAGAAGTCCGAGGAGCACGGATGGTACCTCGGATGAATCCCTCCCCATTGAGAGCAGCCAACTGCGCAGAAAATCAATTCACGACGCGTGACAACACAAATGAGTTCATTCCTTCTCCCAACCACCAAGAAGGCGCCAATTGAAAAAGACCTGAGACAGAACCGTTGAAATTACTCCGCACTGATATGACCAATGGCTAAGCTGAAGTGAGTTTGACTCTATAAGGCCCTAGCCGTGCCGCCGAAGCAACACTGTCGATCACTGGGCTAACTCCCCAGAAGGCAGGAGCTCGCCTCGCCCACAGACCGCCTCGCCCCAGTCGATCAGAAGAAGAGCCACCAACATCTGGAGCCCCAGACCTGCTTGCCCACCGAGACACTCTGCACGATGAGCGGGGAAAACTGTGAACCAATTGGCCAAGCACACTTGACCGCAGTGTTGTAGCATAGCACGTATAATCCAATCCATTGAAACAGCCATCCATTGATGCACGGCTCAGAGTACGGACGGCCGGCACGTCCCCATCCAAGCAGACAGTGAAAGGCTGAATACCAACGCCACCACCAAAGGCACGGCTCAGAATACGGACGGCCGGCACGTCCCCATCCCACGAACCAGGGAATCGCCATGCAGTGACAGCTAAAAGATTGGAATACGAATTGAAATGCTGCAGCCACTGTCCTTTGCTACCGCTGGCCCATGACAACACTGAAATTGATAATGCGCCGACGGGCCGCGACTTGCTCCCACCTGCCTGCCTGCTGCCACCAGACGTTATTCTCGCACGCGCTGATCCGAGCAGTGTAGCTGATGCAGTCGGCCTCGCGCCTACCCATCTGGCTCTGCAGCGAGAATCCGCTGCCTCTGATTGCCCTTCTCGCACGTGCTTGAGAGAACGTTGTAGCGGATGACGGTCGGCACAACCTTCGGCTCCCACATTCTGTACATCATCGCCAGGACACCCCAACTCTGCACACCGTATGCGCCGAGTCCAGTACTGTAGATGAGGATGACAGGAGCCGATGCGCTCAGGATGCATACCAACAACAGGAGGCAAGAGCAACACTAGCAAAGTACAAGCCATAATCGATTAATCCTTTTGCTGAAACTGTTTACCTCGATTTAGCCAACGCGATCGACTGCGCACGCGGCCCAGGAGACGCGTTGCCACTCATGCGCCACGTTGAGGCATCGAGGTGCGACTCATGTCCAAGCGATAAGCCAAAAGGGGGCCTACGGAATGGACGGAGCCACATGTGCTTGAGGGTGGTTCTAAGATGGGGTCATGAGGGCCTGAGGGGTGGGGTCCTAAGGATAGGAAGGGATGACGTTGTTTGAGGCACATCGTCCTGAGGACCCCATCCCTCAGGGCCTCATCTTTGAACCACCGACAAATCGCACGTTTCCTGGCCATTCTCGGGGGCGGCCAGCAGGGGGCGACGGCTGGGGGGGGGCGCAGGGCCATGATGTAACGAGCTGGGGGGGGGGGCAGGGCCATGATGTCACGGCAGCCAGGGTCGTGACACCATGCAGATCCGGGGAGATAGCATGATATCATGGCTGGGGCCAGGGCCATGAGGACGAGGAGGAGGAGGAGGAGGAGGAGGAGGAGGAGGGTCAGGGCCAGGGCCACGATGTCATGGTGTCGTGGCCAGGGGAGAGCTCATGGCCAGGATGCCATGACATCTCCCGGGATCCCGTGGCCCCCTCGTCTTCTTCCTGTGCGCTCCGTGGCTCCCCCCGTCGCCCGCGCACGTGTCCCGGGCCATGACCTCTGCCGCTGACCCCCCTCTCGGAGGCCCCCCCTCTCTTGGGGAGCGCAGACTTGCGTAAACACCAAGCACGGAGGTCCGCGCGGATGTCCCGGACCGGCGCTGGACGGAGCGCGCCAGGGGCGGCGCCGGAGGCGCCGCCAGGGGGGTCCAGCGCGGGTCCGAGAAATCCGCGCGGACCTCCGAGTTTTTTATATTTGCGCCAGTCTTCGTTCCCCAGGGGAGAGGAAAAACAA